CTTGTCGAGGTACAACCCTACAGTACACCCTCAGTGAACCCTTACAACTGAGGGCGTGGCCCCCACCGCCCAGATGTCAGACGCGGGGCTTACCTTCGGCCAGTCGTTTGGAGGTTTTCATCTGCTTGAAGGTCGTCCTTAGCCATGGCAAGGAGTAGCAGAGTTCACCAAACTCAGGAACCCTTGAACGGAACTCGCAGTTAAGTAAGCTGCACATGAAGGTGCCACACAATAGCGCTGTCAAGGCTTAGTTACGTCGCGCTGAAGTTCCTACAAGGTAGAAAAGCTATTATTAAAACCATGAGACGACGACGATGATGATCGATTGTCCTCAAAATTTGGCAGCACACGCAATTTCCGTGGCCTCCCCGCGCATGACCTCTGGGGCCATGTAGTACACGGTGCCTACCTGCCAGGGGGCTTACGCCTCTATGTTTTGGGGGGGGGTAGCTGCAGGTGATAAGTGCCACCGGCAGCTGCTGAGTATGATTGCAGGTGTGCATCTACTACTGACTCATTTCACGATTTCTTGGAATCAGTAGCCAGTGCGACTTCTCTTACAAGGCTTCGGGCGGTGCTGAAAACGTTCGGCCTTGCTACGGTTCATTGATCCAAACTCTTCGAGTGCCCGAAACCACCAACATCCCGCCTGTGTCGCAATCTGCTGCCGCTTCGGGCTGGGGCCTCCTGAAGCAGCAAGCTGAAAGACCGCGCCTTGTTTAAGCCTACGGGGCTTCAGGTTTAGGGTTTTGGGTTTAGTTTAGGGTTTGGGGTTTGGACAAGCTATATGTGATCCCATCTTACGGAACCTCCAGCACTCCCCAAGCCCTAAGCCTTCATCCTCGAAATGCAACCTGGTCACTCGCACTTATGTGCTATCAACCCTGTGCTGGAGAATCGTATGAACACTGGAAAGCAAATATCTTAACCTTCAGCATCGTCGTCGTCATTGCCATCACCATATCCGTCGTCATCATCAGCATCGTCATCATCATCAACAAGCATCACAACCTATTCCTCGCCCTCATCCGCATCGTCATTGGCACCACCATCAGCACCACAGCAGTAGCTACTCTAAACACTACTAACAGTGCCACTGCTCGTACCAACAGCTGCAGTCGGAGCAGCATTGCCAGCAGCAGCAGAAGCATTGGCAGTACCAGCATAGCAGTACCTTGTTAAGTCATCGGAAATGAGTACTTCTAGTTGTGATCACCGTTGCCGCAGTCAGCAACAAAGGCGACGACGACCATAACGCGTCGTAGCAGCCGCCGACATGACATGGAAACTGCGAAAAAGTGCCAACACTCATCAAAACCCCAAAGCCTTGTACCCTAAACCATAAACCTTACAACGCTTTAGAACACCTCTTGCACGAAAATAGAACCCACACGAATAAATGAAGCAATGCCGGCCTTGCTTCAGGCAAGATTTGGGTTTGCCAGGCCCTTTCGGTGGTGACATTAGCGACACGTCTTTGGAGGAGACCTTGTCCTCCTTGGTCGCTGGCTAGGGGTTTGGGCTTAGAGCTTAGGGTTTAGGGTGTATCGCCAGAGGACAAAGAGCTCAGCCATGAATCTGTCAGAGGGTGCTTAAAAGGGAAGGCTGAGGTCACTTCAAAGCCGTAAACCTAAGCCTTCTGACGACATGTTGTTGTGAGAGTCTTCAACCACCCCGAACATAAGAAGTCTGAAGACCCCAACCAGCCAAACAAAGGGCCTCACTTCGGAAAAGGCTGGGGGATGGACGACGGGCTCGGCACGGCAGAGGCCTTGTATGGGACTGCTTTTTCTGAGCAAATGAGGAAGACAAGTCTGTCGTTCGGGTTTCGGCGAACTGTCGCGTGCAAGGGGGTTCTGCCTAGCTACTGGTGAGCAGGGCCTCCCCAAACCGACCTGCCTTGGGAAGATATTGAATTTGCTATGAATGTTGCCGTGATGAAAACTGTAAAGAACTGAACCCTCAACCTCGGAACCTGTCTGGTCCACATACTTTCCGAACAGGGCAGCAATGGCATGGACTCGCTCACTGGAGGGTGGCAGAGGCGAATCTGCATGATCGCAGTCAACATAAGACAGCCTCACCGTCGTCATCCGAAAGCAACATGATACCGGACAGGATCCATGGACCAATGCAAATTCAGCATTAGTGCAATACAGTGGAGAATGAGACAACGATGCAACAAGATGCGAAGATTCTGCAAAGGAACCCCGTACAATGTTTGTAAACATTCCAAACGATGTCAGTGTATGTATGAGAAGGGATGCACGTACGCATGTACGTATGCATGCATGCATGCATGCATGCATGGCTGCATCTAAGTCTATGTACGTAGTTATGCATGCATGCATGTGCGCATGTATTTCTGCATGCACGCATGCATGTTGTGTATGTCTGTGTGTCCGCAGGCGTGCATGTATCTCTGTGTGTCTGTGTGGGTCTGCAAATATATGTCTGTATGTGTCTGTATGTATGTTCGTGCGTATTTGTCAATGTCTACGCCTGGTGTCCAAGACAGTACGATGCCATAACGCAGTGTATTGTGTCATGTGGGCTTATGCTAATACAAAGCTGTAGTTGTCCGGTACTCTCATTCTAGACGAGTATGATGGCACCAAAAGTTAACCTGGTTAACCTTATAATGAGCAGTCTTATACTTCCACTCCCGAGAAAGCTAACTACCGGAAGCCGACCGTCATGGGAGCAAGCTTGCGCTTGCAGGCAGTACACCTGCCCGTACTAGTGTCTTTGTTGCTGCATTGAGTTTCAACAGATACTTTCATTCTGTTGTTTAGTGTCCCTGCTGCTGGTACCACAGTCATCGCAAAGCCCGGAACAGTCGTGTCATTGCCATGGCCATCATCAATAGTGACGTCTTGCAATGCCCATCAGTGGTAGTAGTAGTCGTTGTCGTCTCAGAACTGTCAACTCGCACCTTGATCAACGTGATGGCTGCGACTATGATGGCAATAGTGATGGTGAGGTTGAAGATGAATATGATGACTGGTATGCGTTGTTGGTGGTGCTGTTCCTGTTATTACAACTAACTTAACTCGTGGTCCCGTCTTTGCTAGGGATGCTGGTGATCAGGGACAGTGCCACTACCATCTGCGAAGATTGCATTCCTTCTCATGTAGCAAAAAAAATCGGCTGCCAAGTTATTGTGATTCGCACGGATTGCATCCCAAATGCTGTCACCACCAAGTCCCTGTTCAGAATGCCCAATGCTTGCGCTCTCGCGACTGCTGTGGACCTTCGGGCTGACAATGCAGCAGGAGCGGCTTGTGTTCCCCTTTGCCAAGTAATTAATGTTGCGCGTGTGAGGTCTGTGTTGATATCACGATTCTCGTTCCTGGTCTGCTCTTCTTGTTTCAGTCTTGAGTTGTTGTGGCACCCGTCACGGCAGCAGTCAAGATGAAACAAGCAGTAGAATCAGTGGAAGTAGATATCACTATACTGAACTTAGAATCCTAGCACAAATTAAAATTTTAGCTGTTTCTTAGGGATAATAATCACCAAAAATTAAAAAATACTCCTAAGTACGCCTAAGATCAGTGGAAGCAATACGAAAAACAGAAGCCGGGCTGGGATTTGGCTGGGCTGTGGCTACCCTAAGGCCCCAAAGTAGTTCCTTTTTGGGGTTCGTATATAGAATCCTATAAGGTAATCCCAAAAAGGAACTACTTTGGGGCCTATGGGTACCTACACTCCGCTGGGCGTTCCTGTGGCTTTCTTGAGTCTCATCTCGGATTGGTGTTGACCTTGACGCCCACCCCGGAAGTCTTGAAACCTTTCCAGGCACCCTGCCGAAATCCAAGAGCTTCAGGTGTCCGGCGGCCGTGAGGATCATATTGTCGAACTGGCCGTTCAACTTGGGAGTATAGGCAACACCCACAGGAAGTGAATGTTGCAGGAGATTTTGCGTCTGGAGAGGGAGAGGGAGGGACCGGAAGGGAGATGAGCGAAAAAACAAAAGCAAAAACGGGACAAACGTCTCCACCTACCCTCGATCATGTCGTGAACGCTACGGGGGCGTAGCCAGGGAACATGCTGACGGAGTTCGGGAGACTCAAAGCATTGGATGCATCCAGCTGTGCTGCCTGCCAATGAACCAAGAACAAATATGCGTTACCGGAACATTTGCAACCAAGCCGCCCTAAACACTAGAACCCTAAACCCTGACTTGAGCTTGCTTTCCGTCTTCTCTCTTCACCCCACGATTCTGCAAAGGGCCATCTTCGGCCTAATGACGATGATTCTTCGGTAGTTGTTTGGATTCCATGCCCTATATGTTACGTTTCCAGATTTCCGCGGCAGCCTTCATAGCTCCGAGGGCCTGCATCATTGGCTGCTTGTGACGACGGTTCCCCTATATAATGTCACTAAACCCGAAGCTCATCGGTGAGTCTGCCATCCACCGGGAGAGAGCAAGCTGAAGAGCTCGACCTGACATGAAAGGTGTTGGGGTTTACAGGGTGGTTGGGTTCATGCAGTTGGGGCTTCGGCTTGAAGGCTCGCAGTTTACTGCAAAGCACTCAGGCACGCAACGATCTTTTCAAATAGAGCGCATGCCTGTACTACGCCTCCGTGATTGAGAAACTGCGCCTTTGGAAATTCCACCGCTTCCCAATACGGGTCACGAGCAGATGCGCTGTGCCTTTGGAAATTCCACTGCTTCCCAATACGGGTCACGAGCAGATGCGCTGCGCCTTTGGAAATTCCACTGCTTCCCAATACGGTTCCCAGTAGATTCACGACAATTGCCACCTCAGGGTAAACTCGGTTAGACGAAACGCTGTATCCAGTCTGGTCTGCTGGAACCAGCATTGCCGTCGCATCTTCTCTAACAATGCCCTTCCGGACTGCTTCTTTCGAGCATTGCAAACGGTGCTTCAATAAAAATGCTCTTCCAAACTGCTTGTTTCCGAGCATTGAAAGAGACAGCTGTGCGACGGACAGATGCAAGACGCGGCCATGCTAAGAAACCCCTCGCGGCTTGATTAATAGGCATGGTGGTGCCAGCTGCGACGAGGCCGCCGGCCACCTTCATAGAAGGATCTGCCACCCTCGGCTCCTTCCTCTCTGCGCCTTTTGTGACCTTTGATATGAATGCTCTCCCCGCCATCAGGGTCATTCCGGTAGTCCATGTGGTCCCAGAATCTCCAGAACTCGTCGCGCCAGACAAAAACCCGAATCCTTGTCCGAACTACTCGCTCCGAACCCTGCTCTCGCAGCAGTTCCTGTGCACGACGAAAAGCGGCTAGCCTTCTGTTGTCAATGGACCTGAAACGCCCATGGTACATGACAACTTCAAGCATGGCCCATTTCTCGGTTGAGGGATCCATGCCACGAACGATCTCCTCTGCGGTCCTCTGCACTGATCTTGTCGGGCAGTGCTGGCACTCATAAGACATCCGCCTGCGTTCACACTCACACCTAAAATAAGGGTGGCACTGTTTCTGTGTGAAGAGCACCTCGCTCACAGGAACCGTCAGGATGATTTCCTCTTGCTTGATGTTGGACTGGATTTCACGGCGCATCTTTTCAAACACCCTCTCCACGGTGTCTTCCTCACCTGAGCTTTGAAGCAACCGGTGAGTAAAAGGAGGCATATTATTCATAATGGTGCCTTTAAGGAACCGGTCCCCAAAAAAGCAATAAAGCACGGCGCTCCAGAACCCAGTGACCGTTGAAGGAAGCTTTGATCCATTTGACCATCTCGATGCCTTCCGCATCTGCCTCCAAGTTGATGGCATCACAAGGAGGTGGCGATTCCTCTGACTCTGGAACCGCGGAGCCTGTTGCTCGTGCCTCGCTCCACCACTTCCACGCCGAATCAAACATGTTTTTCCGGCTATAACTCCAAGCTTCAACTTGTTTTCCCCCAGCGATCAGGGCTGCCGGCCACTCGCCGTACTTCACGCGGTTGAAGAAATGACGCGCGTCCTCCAAAACACTGAAGAAGAAGCCTTCAACCGCTTCGGAGTTGAGGTGGTTGTACTTGTGCAAGGCTACGGCATAGTTGCACAACTGCGGGCTAGACATTGCTGAAACACTGCCGGGTGGAATATAGTCATCCGAGTAATACTCTGTTGGATCTACAAAGATCGTTTTTGCTGCAGCCGCGCGATTCCCATCTTTGGACCAGGACCGACATAGATCGTAAGCAACGTGCATGGCTTGCGTTTGCCTCTTCTTGTTGCTTCCCAAACCCAGCGCGAGTAGTTGTTTGTCTTCGTCCTCGCACCAATAGAATAAGTGCAGGTCGTCGTCCGCCATTCGCAGTGCCCTCGCTATGGGTCTTATTTCGTTCGGCCACGGATGGTCAGTGCTTCGGTGGCAAGTCAGGTTGCTGTGGATCAACTTGGACCCAATGCTGTGGCACCATTCGACAGCAAGGATTAGACGATTGTCGTCTTTCGCGACAATCCGAAACATCCGAGGCTGCCGATCCATGGCTTACCCTCGCTTCGAGAGCGTTTGTAATGTGATCCGCCGTGCTTTATTCTCGCTACTGTGCGTGTTGGCGGCTGCTGCCTAAACTGAGCCAATCCAGGCCTCCCTGTCCAATTTTTGCGAGAATCAAACCTTTCAACGTCAGCGTGCAAGCAGGCACTGAGTCTTCAAGCATGCAGGGCGCACCTTCTGGCTGAAGACGAGGCCAAGGGCGTTGACACGGCATTTTAGATGAATCAACGCAAGCTGGCGCACCGCCAATGAACCCTGACATCTACAAACTCAGACCTCAAGCTCATAACATGTGAGTCGATTACACGAAATTGCAGGGCTTGGTCTGTTTAGCAACATCCTGTGCAACCCCGCACGCCATCGCACACCTTCACATCTCGGTGGATGAAGCCATGGCGATGAAGCACATCCAGCGCCTGTGGAAGCTGTCGGAAAATTTATCTCCGAAGTGCGAGGTCCCGCTCGATCGCCTCCAACCAGACCCATGCTATGCCCCACCCGGAACGATGGCCCCTATGCTGGCCTTAAACACGGGGTTCCCAACCTTGAAACGTTGCACAGTTTCTCGAAATTATCTTGTCCGACATCCGAGACGCAAGACCCCACACCACACAGCGATTGCCATGCAGCAAATGTCACGGCTTCGGAATTAATCTTCTTCAGGTCGTTTTGACTTCGAGGTTTAGAGTGGCCTTCGAGAATCCTGGGACTTCGGCTGGGGAATCCCGACGTCAAGGTTTCTAAGATTGCAAATAATTAAACCTTCACCTCACACGCTTTGAGCGACTGCGGACTTCAGGGTTCTGGGACTGCAGGTTTCAAACCTGGGCTCGGATGCCTCCAGGAGCTCTGCCATGTAGAACCGAGTCTCATCCTTGCTGCAGCTGCAAAGGGGTCAGAAGAGGAGCAAGGTGGCCCAGCAACCATTTATGAAACCACGGTACGAGGTGCTTAGACTCGAGTTGCTTTTCAGAGCTCCTGGGACAGCCACGGACTCCCTGAAGTACCCCCGGTGTGGGGTGATCCTATCATCAATAGTTCGGGGTTTCAGCTTCATTCCTCGGGCTTGCCACAACAAAGCTTTATCTGAACTGCTCCGATTATCGTAGAATATGTCCCTCACACCCTTAAACCCTGAACCCTTAAAGTAGGGTTCCTTAAACCCTGATATAAACTACTATAAAGTATATAATGGTCTATTTCTCAGGCCAGGGCAGCAGAAAAGCGGTTCTTCACCTCGATCCACTTGAAGAGGTCGCCCCCGGGAAGAAATCTGCCAGGCTCGAGTCTTTAGGGCATTTAGCGTTTAGGGCTCCGGCTGTTTGGCTACTGGGTTTGGGGCATATAGGCATTTCGCTGTTTCGGGCTTTAGTTGCCGCATTTTGGGATTGTAGTGAGCTCTCCAGGCGACATGATGACGTTGTCGGGTCTAGAGCCTAGAACCCACAGTCCTGAAGAGTGTCAATACACATGAGTCTGTATAGCAATGTGACAGCAACAGCTATAAGTATGAATTATGGTTCTTCTTGCAGGGCTAGCGGTACCTGCAGCGACAGTCAGACACTTGCACGCACAACCCTTGAGCCTATAAGAATGTCCGACAGCACATGGCAGTCACCTGTCTCGAGCCCTGGGTTCAGCACCCAGTACGACTGTGGGTTTAGGGTTTAGGATTGGGTTGTAGATGATGGTTTTGGTATGTGGGTCCGTTTCGGGTTTGGGGCTAGAGGTGTTTCGGCTCTGTCAAAGCTTGCCAGAGGCACTCCATCAGCATGTAGATGTGGTTGGTGTCCTGCAGCTGTAAGTTTTCCGGGTTAGCGGTGTCGGTTTCGACTCTCAAGACAACCCAGCCAGAGAAGAGTTGTTGAGTCCTGGAAAGTGGCGAAGAGCTCCACGAACCACCTGCCATCAAGCGTTGCCAGCGCTTCTACGAGCTTCTCGGGAGCCCAGGCTGGAGAAACGATGCCCACGGCAGGATGAGGTATCGAGAGAGCACATCTGGCTTCTCGAAATCAGGTCGTTTTGGCGTCGTAAGAGCGACACAGCATCCTCCTGACCCGTGAAAGAAGCAGAGATCCCCGTTGCCTGTAGCCTGAAAGATACTCATCCACAAGTTCGCTGCAGCTCGGCTAGGTGTTGGATTTCTGAAGTACGCCTGCTGTTGCAGCTTCCGGCGCAAAGAAAACATACATACGGAGACGAAGCAGCACGCCTGTTCCGAGCCTGTGCCAGAACGTCTCGCCTGCACGGCAGAATGTGCTGCCGCACCAACATCATCAGCATGATTGTATAGGGAACGTGAAGTCTGACTGAAGAGGTGAGGGAGATGTACTGCTCCACTTGCAGCCATTTGTCTGGTTGGTGGTTTGCTCGCAGACCCATAGACCCGTCGCGCGACTGGCCAAAGTGGCTTGTTCTTCCTTGTCCTTGTCTGAAGCAGCGTACTCTAGCTGGATAGCCATGCTACGGCTAGCATAGGTCGTAAAGCAACCTGAGTGGATGACGAATTTACTGCCTGCCTACCTGCCTGCCTGCTGCGGGCAGTCGTTCATGCAGTCGCGTTCTTTCAGTTCAGTGAGTCAGTGAGTCAGTGCATGAGTGCGTCAGTCAGTCAGTCAGTCAGTCCGTCAGTCAGGCAACCAACTAACCTGAATCAAACAAGCGATTCTTGTGCCTGTCCAAGCATTTCACGAACAGCTTGACGGGCCAGTCAGTTGTGCATCAACTGACTAGCGACAAAGCTTGGTGGCTAAAACACTGCTTGAACAACAAATGCCTCTTGGCTTTCGCTCAGGAAAGTGCAAAGCTTACGATTGTTAGCTGGCTGGTCAGTTAGCCAACGGTTTTGTGTTGGTAGCGTCAGTCATAACACATCACTATGTATCTTGAATGCAGATCTACACTTTGCTGGCCAGCTTCTCGCGCTGATGCCTACGTACAACCGACAACTATCGCTGTACAGTCTTTATGCTGTCGAACTTAAGCAAGAGAATCCGAGCTATGGGCTCGTTGTACACGCCCTTCTTGATATTCTTCTTCGCATGCCTGCACAGAGACGACAGCATTGAGTCTGCAGAATCCCTCAACCCCGTAGGAATGAGGGTACGGCCGCAAAGCTGCAAATGAGTCTTCGGAACAGAGCCACTCCGAAGCCTTAAGCTATCGAAATGTTGCGAAGTCTGTGTCTGCGCCTCTGCTTTGTCATCTGCTTCAGAGCGAAGTACCTGTTCAGAGAGTTGAACAAACCAGATACCGGCGCCACTTGCTGACGCATTACCATTCACCTTTCAACCCTCAACCCTGAAAACCCTGAACCCTTCACTTCCTAACAATCGCACCAAGCTGACTGCACGGAAGGAAACCTTTCAACAAGCAGCAGCCTGAGAAAGGGCCTCTTAGCTTGGTTAAACCTTAAACCGTGAACCCCAGAGGAACTCTGACCCTCAAAACTCTAACCTCGAACACCTTAAGCACTCTCCTGCCGCATTCCCTGGCTCACTGAGGCGATGGGGAGTCCTTCAAACTCACGAGGAACACTGTGCCGAAGGCACCCTGGGCGCTTCCGGAAAGTTAAAGGGTACATATCACTTTGGTGGGTCAGTACCCTTGCTAAGGCGGTCTTGCCTTTGACACCGCTTTTCAGAGCTCACTGATGTATTTAATGCAAGTTGCCTGACGGGAAAGTCCTCATGTAAAGGAACCTGCAAATTCTGATGATGTTGACAATCAGTCTCAGCAGTCCCATGTTGCAGTGCCCGCGGGCGATCACTGTTGTTTAACATCTCCGTGACTACCGAGTATTCCTGGTCGCAAAGGTCGCGGCTGCACCGAGAACCGCCATGGATGTAAGGTCGGCTGTCGACCAATGCCTCCCACAAATCTTCGGGAGTTTGTCATAAGTTTTTCGGGTTTCTCAGAATTGCAAAGGATTGTAGGATTGCAAGAAGATCTTTTAGGCTTGGTTGCACAAAATTTCGGTTTTAGGTTGCAGGGCTTCGGGTTGAATAGAACTCGACGAACCTTCTGGGGCATGCGGCATGTTTCGCTGAATTTCAAGCTAGTGAAACCCGCATTGCGACTTGTTGAGGCCCCTGCAAGTACACAAAGCCCCGAACCCTAACCCCTTCCAACAAGCTCTGACCCTAAACCCAAAGCCGTAAACCCTGAACCTGAACCCGAAGCTCTAACCACTGTCAGACCATCGCCTCGAAACCCAAATCCCTAGTCGGGGCCTGCATTTTGCCACAGCCAGGCGCTTCTCCTGCTCCTGAAACCTGGACTTCGATTCTTACGAGAAGGCACTACTACAGAGGCCTTCATACTTGGAGCAAGGTTCCTCCTTTAAGGGCTCTATCAGTCTACCAGGGTTACTAGAGGTTTCGAGGCTTGAATGATTACAATCCGGATTGGGAGTATACTGTCTATATACAAGGTTCAGGCCGCGATAGTTCTACTTTTCGACCGTACCGACAGCCTGAACCGTCTCAGTATCATTCTGAGCCAGGAACATGATATGTTCAAGCCCCTTTAGTGGGAGAGGCATAGGCATAAAGCTCACGGCTGAGGCTTAGGATTTTGCGAGTCACACCATTGGTCCGAATGCCATGACGAGCAGGCCCAATAGCATCCAGAAACCCCCAAGCAGCTGGAAGAAGATGTGGTACATCCCCCATGTCATCGGACAGCACAGTAGTGGTAAAACGACCACGAACATTCTTGGGTGATCTGCAGCTTTGATATAGAAAAACCAAGAAGTGCCTGTTCTAAACCGCCGCTTTGGGGCTCAGGAGTCCTATCTACATACATGCATACCTTAAACCCTAAACCCTCGAAGCGGGCTGGGGGGGGGGGGCGGCGGGGGGGCGGTCTCTGCACAGCATCTGTCTCTGCTTTGTCCTCTTCCCTTCATCTATGCCCTTCTCCCTGGACGTTCTTGCCCGGTCAGGTTTAAGGGTTCGCATTTTTGGGTTTATGGGTTAGGTGAACGG